CCATGGTCCTCATTGGATGACTAAAGTTGAGAAAGAATGGCCTCTGAACAGACTTGAATGTCTATCTACTGAATCTAAGAATACTGTTTCCTCAAAAGTTTATTATGATAGAAGCCACTGGTTTCATTTTCTAAATTCTCCAGCTGGAAAAAATTAATCAATGTCACGTTTTTAGCATTCAGATTCATTTACAAATGCAAAAAAGGGGTCAAAATGATGACCTGCCACAAGCAAAATTGTATTTAATAAAGGTCATGCAGAAAGAAAATTTCTGTGATGAACTATCCTTTTTGAAAGACCCAACAAAGGGCAAACCTCCTCCTCTTGTGAAAAACTCAATATTTTAATGGATCAAGATGGTATATTACATTTTATTATAAAAAGAAGTAGATAGAATAATTATAATTCTAACAAGTAATGCATATGAGACTTTATAGCCTATTCTGCTAGCAAAACAACATCCTTATATGGAACTACTGATTAATGAATACCATCAACAACCCAAACATTTATGGATTAGTACCACCATAGCCAAGATCAGAACAACTTGTTTCTGGATCCCTCAAGTCAGACAAGGAGTAAAAACAGTATTGAGTAAATGCACTGGTTGCAAGAAATACAACAGTTTGGCCTTAAAGTATCCCAGGTTGACTAAATTGCCTAAACACTATGTGAACCACATCAACCCTCTTATGAATCAATTACATGGGACAACAGTAGGTGCACAGAAATGGAAAAGCTGAAAAAATGTATTTGTTAATATTCACTTGTAGAGTAAGCAAAAGTGAACAGCATCAAATCAAAGGAGCAAATGACAAAATTAAATACACTGTGCAAGGGGTCTATGAAGCCTACCAGGTTTCAAACACACTTCAAAATTTCAATTTAATAAAAATAAATAGCCAATAAAATCAGCTCCCACAATAAAATAAACACAGGCTTTTGGAGCCTACACAAGGCCATAAAAACCAAACACTCAGCCTAAGGATTGACAGCAGTAAAAAGACATGTGTCAATCTCATCATCCTGTCTTTCTCACCAAAGCAACAGCAGATTCTCTTTAATCTTATCTCTCAACTTCAATTTCTCTCTTCCCCACTGAAAAAATATTCAGGTTCATTTCCTTACAGTCAAAGAGAAGAACTTTCTAACTTTCTTTTCATGATAAGTAATTACACTTAAAATTTGTGATCCTACATTTAAATAAATATCATTTTGAACACACAACAATCTTTTCTCTTGTTTTTTTATTCAGTGACCCAAGGAATCTTTCCTCAACAGTCTTGCTATAAGAAGTATACATATAGAACACTTCTCAAAAGAAGAGTCAACCAATGTTCACTTCAAACTGCTCTTGAACATTTGATCTGCCTCATGATGACAGGCTACTATGGGAAGATTCTGTGGTTCAAATGAAGTAACCACAAAGGTATCCTTTTTTAATCATTCACATACTCATAAAAGGATAAATGGTGAACAACACAATTATGAATAAATAATAAAATATAGTGTCATAAAAATGAATACAAATGACAAAAGAATGAGTTATATCATTTTAATTGGTATAACTAATGCTTGAAATAACTTAATAAGGGGAGAAAATAATTTTATTAAACAATAAATGTAATAGTGTACATATAATTCATAAGCTAGAATTTATACCTAGCCAATAAAAGGGGCATAATTCGGATTGAATTAACATAATTTACAAGTCTTTAAAAAAGGGCATGGGGAGGACACTTATAGATGCATTCACTAATAATTGATGATAATAATGTTGAAGGATATATTAATAATAATAATATGTCAAGAATTATCATATTTCATACCCAGTGAAGTTATTCTTAATGAATAGTTCTAAAAAGTTAATTAACAAGTAAACACCAACTCTCATATTTCCAGTGATATATTGAAGCTAACAATTTCGCTTTTTTTATCTGTTGAATGATGGAAATGCTTATTATTAATAAAGAATTGATTTATGTTTATATATATTGTATTAATAAAAGTAATGATTACAGAAACGCTTATTGTACATAAAAAAACAACAACTGCATTACGATGTTATGAACCAACAACATGCAATGAAACTCTGAATTGGATGTTTTCCTGTCTTTTAAGGCAATATAAAAAATATAGGTTATCTCCCTTTGATAGATAGCACCTGCTGATAGTAGTTCAGATCAATTCACCTGATAATAATGGGTATGACTCAAAGTTAGGGTGTGAAATAGAATTCAGGCGCCAATTGGAAAGGCATTGAGACAACGAATGGGAAGAACATGTTTTCACCTACTCCAAAAACAGACAAAGCTAGCCATGAGCAAAACCTAAATAATGCATAGAAAGCAGCTATTGGAAGAAGATACCATATCAGATGAGTGCTTCAATCAATTTCTTATAGGCACATGTATTTGGATACTGTCCCTGATATCATGACCTTTAGCTGCTAAAAGAATACATTTTTAAAAAATCTATTCTATTCTCATTGTGTAATATAATTTTTTATTTAAAATATGTTTTTTTACAATGTTCAGTTGTCTCAACTTTGTTCATCAAGCCACAACTCCATTGGGGAGTCATTAAATTTTCCACATTTTGCTTTTTTAACTATACACTACATAATCTTTATGTATTATATTGTATACATATAGACCTTCATGAAGAAATGTATTGTAAAGTGCTAATATTTCCTGTCAGTATACACACTATTAGTTTTATATCACTTGGTATCTCTCTACAGCATAAAACTACTAGCTCGATATGATTGGCAACGAGGTGACTGGTAGACATGGCGAGATGGCACAGTCAGGACAACGAACAAATAAGTTTGTTAAAGTCTTGTTTTTGCCCTAATAAAGTTATAGTTCTTCAATAACATTGAGTTTTTCTTTCTATGCTTATTTCATGTATACATGTTGAGGCATGTATATAAGTATACAGTTGAAACAAATAATGGAAGGAAATATGATAAAATTGTTTAAATTTGAGTACTCTTTAAAAAAACACTTCCATACCCGTCAAACATGAGTACATGCTACTTTTATTGCATCAATTTGAGCAGTTCCTTGTGAGAATGGAATGGAAGGGGTTGTTTTTCCTGCATAAATGTATTAACGGCAAAGATAACATTCAATCTCAATTGAAAACCAAAAAATACCCCCTTGTCATAGAAGGGTTGACTGGTTTCGAAAAAGATATACTCAGTGTTATGGATGGAATCAGGTTCACAGAAGTAAATAGCATCTTTCAAAAGTGCCTGGCTAATGAGGTGAAAACCTCAAAGATTTTAATTAAAGGTGATAAAACCAGAAACATCTACATGATGAGCTCAAAAGCGTATGGGAAAAATGAATGAAGAGGTTACCAAATCTTATAAAAAGACATCTTGTCAATATATTGAAAAAAAAAATGGAGATGTGAATAATATCACAGCCAAAATGAATATAGGTGACAGAGTTCAGCAATTGTATAAAAAGCAAGCCTTCCTAATGGTAAAAGACCATAAAGAAAATTTTTTGAATAATCAATCTTTTCGCCTTATTAACCCAATGAAAACAGAATTTAGAAAAATAAGCCAGAAGATTTTACAAGAAATGTGTGACTTGCTAAGAATAACAACATGGGTTAATCAGTGGAAAGGCACAGGGGAGTGCATATCTTGGTTCCAAAAATAAAAAATAAAAAAAGCATGTATTCATCAAATATGACATAAAGGATTTTTATCCCTTCAAATCTGAGCAAGGGCTCATTGCAGCATTAAACTTTGCTAAGTAGTTTATTAATGTAAAGCCTGAGCAAGTAGTAATTATTCTACATTGTAGAAAATCAGTTCTCTTCCATGGTCATGAAGCATGGCTAAAAAAACAAACAAAAGTGCTTTTGATGTTCCCCAAGATTCATTTGATGGTGCCAAAGTGTCTGAATTGATGGGCCCCTATTTACTAAATAAAATAAACAAAATTGTTTATATAAATGACCATGGCCTATACAGGGATGACAGATTAATGGCTGTAGCAGATAAAAGAAGAGTAAATGATAAAATAAGATAAGAACTGCCCCAAATCTTCAAAAACCTCAGTTTCATTATAGAGGTTGATATGAACTTGAAAGTAGAACACAAATATTCTTAAATGCCTATAATTGATAACTGAAGCCATTGGTTTATACCAACAGCTTCCCATACTTAATATTTCTCGTTTTCACTCTTGCATGGTCATGTGTGATGTCACAAGCTGCAATGCGATTTTTGCTTGTAAGTCTCGTATACACGAGTTTGTCGTTGCTTTGAAATTTTTCATGCACAAAAAACAGACTATCATTATTGTTTTGTCCGTGTATTATTTGATATATTGAAATGTAATTATCATTTTTGATAATGGCTTATGTAAGCCAAAAGCTTAGATTAGATTTAAACATGTATCAATATGGTGATTTCCTTTCGTCTTTCAATGATAATGTTATTAAGCCTATCAGACAATATGAAAGGAACTTATTTAAATAGAGAAAACTTGTCTATATTATTTAATGAAACATGCATCAATGAAAAATTGCTGCCTAAATATACACAATATATATATATGTGTGTTTTTGTGTGTTGAGTTGTTGGGAGTGTTCCCCGCGTGTGTGTATTCGAATAAAAACAAACACAGTTGTAGGGATAAATACTGGTATATTTGTAAGAGGTAATTAACAACAGAGTGATTAGTAATAAGGAACGCCGGTTAGTAAGTAACAATAGCAAAAAAGTCTACAGTCCAACGGTATGTAATGGTAACCTGATCTCGACTGCTGTCGCTGAACCTGATCCTCGCACAACACAACTACTCTCTCTAGCACTGACTTATATCGTAGAGGGATAAGTCCATTATCAGTCAGAAGGTGGGTGCGCCCCAACAGTGTGTGTTGTCAATATATCTGTCATTTTTTTTTAAGCGTTTCACCCCAAGCAAGGCGGGAAGCCACTAGGACGCAAGGGTTACAGAAAATTTGGAGCAAGATCAGATAGGAGTGATAGAAGAAAGGATGAGGAGAAGTGTAGTAGATAGATCAAGGCAACTGGAGATGTTGATTGACATTACATTTGAATAGCTGAAGATTATAGCTCTCAGGGAAACTGGAATAGGGAAGGGAGTTCCACAGGCGAGAGGTGTGAGACATGAAGCTATTGGAGTAGAAGAGACAGCTACATTTAGGAGTTTCAATAGTGAAGGGGTGAGAGTGGGATGCCAGCCTTGTAGGGCACTTGAACTCATGAAGTCTGGGAACCAGCGAATGCAGCTCCTCGGAGCAATTGCCATGAAAGTATTTGTAAAACAGACAGAGAGAGGCGATGGCGCGTCTGTGAGAAAGTGACTGTAGACAAGATGCCATATCAGGGCCAATTATATTGCATATCCGCCTCTGGAGCCTATCAAGAACCCTGAGGCAAATAGAAGGGGCTCCAGACCATATACGGCAGCAATACTCCATGCAAGGGTGAATTGTTGACTTGTAGATCTGGAGGATTGATTCCGGGGAGAAAAATTTCCTGGCGCGGCACAGGAAACCAACTTTCCTTGCTGTGGACAAAGCAATTGACTCAATGTATTTGTTCCATCTCAGGTCAGTAGTCAACATGAGACCGAGCAGCCGCAGAGAGGTGCTCTCGAGAAGTTGAGTGTCAGGGAAGGATTTCTGTGGTGATTAATAGAGAGCAGTTTTGTTTTTGAAGCATTAAAGTTGACCAGCCAATTCCTGCCCCAGTTCACAACTGATTGGAGGTCTTTTATGAGACGCACGGCCAGGTTATTTTTGTCAGTGACACTAGATTTGTTTTTGAGGCAGGAATAAATTGTGGTGTCATCCGCGTAGATGCCAACTTGGGAATTTATGGCGTCAGGAAGGTCATTTATGTAGATAAGGAATAGAGTGGGGCCTAGGATGGAGCCTTGAGGAACACCTGCGTTCGTGGGATAGGAACTGGAGGAGAATCCGTTGGGAACGACCTTCAATTCACAGTTTGACAGAAATGATTGTATTAGGTCAAACAATTGACCCATAATGCCATAACCCTGGAGCTTGCGAAGACGGCCGGCATGCCAAACCCTATCAAATGCTTTGGAGATGTCTAGGGCCATGGCAGGAGCTTCCCCGTTATTTTGAAGAGATCGGTAGACAGTTTCAGTGATGGCCATAAGCACATCAGCTGTAGATTGGGCAAAGCAGAAGACATATTGCTTGTCTGAGAGCAGATCATGGGATGTGAGGTGGTTAACCACCTCAATATTGATTAGGGCTTCGAAGAATTTGCCGAAGAGGGGTAGGAGATTGATAGGACGGTAGTTAGAAGGGTCAGAGGGGTCGCCAGAGTTCTTGAAGACAGGAACAACTGAAAAGGACTTCCAGTAGTCAGGAAAACAAGATTCCTTGAGGCAGTAGTTATATAGTTTAGAAAGGGCGGGCGCCAGTTCAGGTGCACATTTCTTCAAGACAATGGCTGGTATCCCGTCTCCACCACTAGCCTTGTTGGGGGTTTAAATTGGAGATAATGCCCAATACCAAAAACGGGGTTATGTGTAACCCACTCAATGGGGCTTCAGTTCTAAGAGGGAAGTCTGGTATGGGTACACCAGAAGAGTCGAGCGTTGAGCAATTGTTCAATACGCTCTTGCAGAGATGCCAATAATCTTTGGAGCCAAATTTGTGAGATGCAATATGCTCCTTCATCCAAGCAGCAAATAGTGACTTAGCATCATTGAGGGCATGTTTAAACTTATTACGAGCGGAGGCAAAGAGACGTCTATTGCAGTCAGACATGTCGCTACAGAATAGGTGAAAGAAGTGGTTCCTATGGGCAATGGCGGCTGAGCAAGCAGCGGAGAACCAGGGGGAGAAGTGCGACTTGAGTCTATATTTCCTTGAGGGGATGAAAACGTTGATTCCAGCTTTAAACCAGGATGAGACCTCAGAAGCACATTCTTGAATGGGGAGCGTAAAGACACGATCTCAGGGGACATCGCGGAGGAAATCACGGAACGCATCCCAGTCAGCTCGTTGATAGTAGAACAAAGTTCTAGTGGTAGGAGGTTCTTTGTATGGGGTGGAGTTGAAGGAGATGTTAACAGATACTACCGCATGATCAGAGTTACCAAGAGGGTAGATTTGCGTGGTGCTATAGGACTCGGGGATGGAAGTAAAACACAGATCGAGAAGAGAGACTTTACCTACCCGGTTGAAGGCAAAATGAGTGGGGAAGTTAACTATCTGCGTGAGGGATTGAGAGACTGAAAAATTGAGTGTTTGAATGCCTGTGTGGTCAGTAGTAGCATTCTTAAGCCACGTGGTATGATGGGCGTTAAAGTCGCGAAATACAAATATGTGAGCAAACGGGTGGAGGGAGAGAGCCTTGTCTATGCTGTCAGAAATGCTATCGAGTATCCCACAGTCTTGAGAGGATGGAGAGCGGTAAAGGAAGAAGAAATAGCTTACCGCATTGAGGAGAGATAGATGGAGACACATGTACAACTGGTCTGGCAATTCGAGAGACAACTATCTGGCCAGAGGGAGATGGTCCTTGGCATAGACACCAAGGCCGTGCATGTGGGTAATAGAGTCTTTTCTGAGGAGAGGAATGTAGCCTGGGATAGAGAGATCAGAGGAGGGGATAGACGAGACAAGGTTAGTCTCACAGAGAGCCAGTATATCTGGGCAGTTTGCAGTGAGGAAAGATTCCATACTGCAGAAATTTGTTCTAATGCCATGGATGTTGGAGAATGAAATGTTGGGGGTTTTACGTGATTTATGAGTGGCTGGTTTAGGATTACTTTTTCGGTCTTTGTAAGTCATGTGGAATTTTGGTTGGAAGATGAGAAGGCCCGAAGTAAAAAAAGCAGACAGTTTTGACTGTGACGTGGGCAGAGAGGAGTTGACACACCTGCATCATAATGTGGCCTCAGGGTTGCCCACCAGAGGTGACTGCAGGGACACCTTTCCATCCGCGATATGGCACTACAAACACACCGGTATTATACAAATGTTGATCAGAGCGGCCGCTCAAGACGCTACGCAAGAGTTAGGGCTCCTAACTACCAGTCAGAAACAGCAACCAGAGAACTGTCAACCGTGTACCCTCAAATGTTATTAGAGTCGATACTTCATATTTGAAATAGGTGCACAATTTTTTGTTTATTAAACAGTGTGTATTACATCTATCCATCTGGACATTTGAAAAATATTAGTAAAGAAAATATTTTCACTGTGTCTCTTTTTGTAGGGGAATCTACCATTTGATCCAGAGTGCTTTACCACTATAATAACATTTAAATTTATTACCGAGGTGAGAAAAGTAAACATGATTTCTTGGGAAAGATAGTGTATAAAAATGTATAAAATAAAAAAGAAATGTAAAATTATATAAAAATAATTAAAGGGTAAATAAAAAAATGATGTGTATACGTGAGACTGAAATTGACGTAAAAAAACCCACTAAAATGAAAAAAAAATTGTAAAATAAGAGGCTCAAATTTGATGGTCTCAAACCCCAACCCAATTAAGATTGCAAACAGGCGTGGCTTAAACATATATTTTGGGATTTTTTAACCAATGGGGGAAAGTATGTTATGGCTTTTAATTTTCAATTTTTGATTCAGTTTTGGAGCCAATTTGTGGCTATTTAAGAAATCTAATTGATGTAAGAACCAGAAGAGTTTCTGCGCTCACAAGGAAGATGTTCACTAGTTCTGTGAGCTGAATTTAGATGAACAAGAAGGAAAAGAGTGGTTTTCTATTTTCCTTCTTGACTTAGTGCCATCCATGATGAGAGAACTCAGTCTACATTGCTATGTAAGCCATAGCTTGGGATGAGAACAGATGGATTCATAACTTTCCCAAAGGTATTGATATGAAAATGAATGTAACAGACAAAGCTGAAAATTAGCAGAAATCAAGTTATGAATGAAACTTAATCAATGGCTTGGAAAAACTATTACATGAAACCTAAATATAAAAATGTTTTATTTGAAACTTGTTAATTTTAAAGTAATATCTTTGACTATGGTCATTGACTTAAACTGAATATCTAATGGACATGCAAAAGTTCTCAGTACCATATCCCTTCAGGATGTAAGCAATCATAGCTCACCACAACTTCAATTTTTTAAATTTGTATGAATTGCCATGATTTCTTATGAAATATAGTGGAGTAGTTTTCTGTTGGTTTCTCATCTACCTTGCTGTTTAACCTATAGCCTTTTTTTACTATACAAAGCCCAAGAGCCACTCAAGGTAGAGGGTTAGGAAATTAGGTTTTTGTAAGGGCATAGATGGAGGGAGAAAGATAATCAGGATATTTACGATAGATAACTGTTAATCCTAGACTTGAAAGGTTAAGATTGTATAAGATTGTGATTGAGGAAGCATCCCCTTGGGAGTTCATTCCACAATGGAACAGTTCTGGTGAAGAAGCTGTGAAGACTATCACTATTTCATGTGTAGGAAAGAGGTTGTAGGGTGAAAAACAACTGCCTACGAGACTGTGTAAATACTTTTGAATTCTGTCAATGGTGGAAAGTGAAACTCCATCCCACATTTCACAGCAATAATCCACTTTTAGTCTCATCCGGTCACTCTGCTTGCATGGATTTCTGTAAATCTGTCGTCATCCAATTCTACTGTCACATTCTGCAGGTCAGAGATACTGCATTTTATGTCATCACAAATCTGCTTGCTATAGATTTTGGCTTGTCATTCTTTGCTAGCTATGCCTTGTGTAGTCTTCCACAAAAGAACTTCACCAGTCTACCCAGATTTTAGGTGGAAAAATAAAATCCGAGTGTTATGTCCACAAATACAATACAAAACTATAAACAACATGAAGAAATGATCTTTGCAGAAAAAAAGAAGAAGACCAATCTAAATATGATAATAATATTTACATAAGCATATTGAAAATGAATGTTCTTTGTTGTGGCCTTCTCTTCTTGTTCTTGTAATGGCATTCACCCAAGGTGGGTTGAGCCGGCTCCAATATTGGAGTTTCATGGGAATTTAAAATTCACAAGCAATCCCCAACCCGCATGTATGGCACATGAGATTTGATTATAGTGGTGAAGGTTTCGTGCAGGACCATCCACACTTTTTGAAAGGCCAAATACAGATACCTGGTGCACTACGTGCCACAAGGTCCCCAAACCCTCCGCAGGTTTTGAATTCAGAGTTTTCCTTCTCCTAGACCTGTTGCCATCCAAGACTATAGAACCCAGTCTGTCCTGCTATTTACCCATAGCTGGAGGGAGAAGAAGATGATTCATACCTTTCCTAAGGGTATTAGCACGTAAGTGAATGTAAAGGATTTGAACTCGGCTCTCCGATTCCCCAATCCAAGCCGCTATCCATTACTCCACCATGCCTCCTACTCCACCATGCCTCCTTGAAGTAACCAATAGTTTGATGTGATTTGTTGCAAGTGAAACTGCAAAATTTCGAAGTTATTTAGTTGCAAGTGAGTCTAAAAAGTTTGAAATGATATGTATGCCAATGTGTGTGGGTAGCACACACCAAAGAAACATGTATATGATTGCTGATTGATTGTGTGCAATAACGGTAATTTCAAAACACAGTGAAAAAAAGAGAGCTGAGACAAAGCTTACTTTCATTGTAGTGTTGTATGTAGAATAATCATTGCTGACAACATGTCAAAGTAACATGTGTCTAAATTGTTTAATGAGGCATGGTCTGGTGAGCTGCTTTTATGGCTTATGGTTAGTTGGTTACTGGCTCATGAATCCTATCTGAGTTTTGCACAGGAATGTATTGGATAATCCAAACCCTGACCTCTTTCCAGGTCATTTATAGTTCAACCATGTGGATGTTGAAGAGAGCACATTACATGATTTGTTGTATTCAATCAGGTTCCAGAAACCAATTTAATTCAATTTTGGAGCAGTGTTTATTAAAAAAAATTGTATCTACAGTAGGATTTAGTAGGATTTATTTGTAGGTGTCTCTTACTTGTTTGTGCTTCACTTATTGGCTGTAGAATATATGGAGTTTATAACTAGAG